GATGACAATTTTGATAAATTGAGAGATTATTTTTAAAATATTAAAGAGTAAGGGGAGTAATGTCAAAGTTCCAAACCATATCATGATGACCTTATAATTTGTGTAATAAGACAAGTTATAAGGTATTTAACTATAAACGAATTTTTGATAAACAAACAAATCAAATATGTAAATTATTATATTTGAATTGTTTGATATACAATTACCAAAAAAACATTTGATTTTTCTTAAATGATCTGCAAATCAAATTTAAATGTATAATTAGATGACTGAAATACTCGAACTAGTTGATAATCATCGGGCAACTTCCAACCCCCCGTACTTTATGTCATCTTTCTCACTCAGTATTGTATCATTTCATGTGCACTCAAACCCATATCTGGCTATAGTTCATGAAATTAGCTTCACAAATATCACCAAGGTAAATTCTCTTCACTCCAGGCCAGGTTATGCTTTTTAACATGCCGATCAAAATGAACATAGTAGTTCTTGGTTCGTCCACATCCTCCCCCCAATCCCACCCCCACCTCCTCCAAAAAAAAGAAAATCAATCCAGTGTTACAATTTTTTGTCGAGTAGCATTTGTTTTCTTCTGCTTTTCAGTTACATCCTTCTATTTTCAATTAGGTAATTTTATTTTCATAAATAAACCCAAGGTATGAATCCCATTGCTTGATTTTATTCTTGAGGTCTTCTTCTGGAAGATCTGAGCTTAGCGTTTTATTTTCTTATGAATTCTAATTCGTGGCTATGCTGATTACTAGAAGTTACTATCTACGTTGTATGAACTTATATTTTTGATTGATTGACATGTAAGATCTGACATAATGATATCATGACAGGCGTGCATTGGTGCCAAGGTGATTGCTAGTGAAGCTTTGTCAGCTATTAGGAAGGATGTTTTGTCAAAATGTTACGGTAAGTTAGCCAATAGTAGTATCCTTAGAGCATTCATTAGTCATGTCTACCATTGCTTCTCTACAGCGTGAACCATTAAATATCTACATATAATTCGATGTTAGGAGGGACATCATGTAGTAGTTGTTTTGCTCCTGATTGTACACTGGCATCAAAGAGATAGTTTGAAATATTTGTCTCTTTTTTTTTTCAGGAGGTGATATTACGAGGAAAAAGAAGTTGCTAAAGAAGCAGGTGACTTTTTTCTCTATTCATTCTGTAGTATTTATGCTTAGAGTTTCTTTTATCTGTTTTGTTAGAAGCAAATAGCTGCTCATTCAAGAAAACTGTTGAACTTGAATATCCTTTTGCCTATTGGACAAGGTCGATGTGCATATCAGGTGATGTGCATATATAATATAATCTAAAATTGTTGGTAATATATAAGTATACAAAAGTAGAAATAATGTATCTGTTATAAATAGCGGTAAATAGCCCCGCAATAGCGGCACTAATAGCGTTAGCGGTCCCTTCCCGCGACGCTGTCGCCCGCTACGCTATCGCGCAATAGCGGTGACATATTGTGGAATATGTCTGTTCGTAAAAACGGCCAATAGTGTGTCATAACGATAAATAGTGAGCGATTACATTCGAAATTTGCTTTTTGACTGCTATTTAAAAGAGGTTTGAGGCTTATTTTTTTAAAATTAAACTAAACCCTTGACTATTGCATTCCACCGTCTCCTGTGATTTTCAGCATACTCCCGCCACCTCATAGCCTTTGGCACCTACCTTGATACTTCCTCTCACCTCCTTAACCGTGAGCTTCTCTTAGGGTAGTCCTGTCACCGCTAAGCTCTTCTTCTCGAAGACGACAACTTTTTAACTCCTCCAGTCATCTTCGGTATTACGTGATGGTTACATGTCTATTTCATGTTTAGGATCTCACGTGATGGTTACATGTCTATTTCATGTTTAGGATCTCTTTAAATCATCCAATATGTACTTTTAGATTTTTTAGATTTGTCTATTTCATGTTTAGGATCTCTTTAAATCATCCAATATGTACTTTTAGATTTTTTAGATTTTTTTTAATTTTTCTTTTTTCAGTATTTATACATATCTAAATTAGATTGCTATTTGATTTTACGCTTTTTACCGCTATTTTACCACAATAGCTCGAAATAGCCTTAGTGATGTCTCACCGTTACGTGACGCTATCCGTTATTGATAACATTGGTTTATGATCATTAACCAATTATAGAAACTTATTTAGAAACAACAGCCTACTAAAATTTTGCTAAAATGCTACATGTGGTTAGAATTTTTGCTGAAAACATTAAAGAAATTTTGTAGAACTGTGTTGTTTTGTAACAAGCTATATAAAAGGATATATCGGCCGGCCATGTTAGGGATATATAACCCAACAATTGCCAAAAATTGGTAAAAAATTTTTAAGCTATATTGTTTTGCGGCAAGCCTTTTAAAAGGGTATATCGCCCGCTATATCAGATGTATCGGGGAATTTTAAAACAACGATAGTGAAATTGAGTTCCATTTCAGATAGAGAGTAAGATTGATTGATAGTTAAATATGATTGGACTCTTGATCATTGCTAGGTTTGTCCATTACGAAGATGGTCTGGACTAATCTACTTGGACCTAATTGGCTCAAAAGAATTAATCCTATATGTTTTTATTTTCGGAGGATTTAGTACAATATGAAGGGTGATGTAATTTGTATGACTAGCATGGTCAAGCGCCTATGTTTTTTGGGTTAATCCCCCAACCCCAACAAAATCTTCAGGGTGTGAGTAAACCCCTGAATTGTCACTAG